GGCCGTTCACGAACTACTGCCTGCCCTGTCATGGCCACAGAGGCCGTTCACGAACTCACAGACTGTCTTGTCACGGCCACGGAGACCGTTCACGAACTCACTGCCTGTCCTGCTACGGCCAAGGAGGCCGTTCAAGAACTCACTGTCTGTCCTGCCACGGCCAAGGAGGCCGTTCATGAACTCATAGTCTGCCCTGTCACAGCCATGGAGGCCGTTCATGAACTCGCAGTCTGCCCTGTCACGGCCATGGAGGCCATTCAAGAACTCTCTACTTGTTTTGTCTCAGGCAAGTGGTCTGTCCATGTCTCTGCTCCGCCATGGCTTCCTGCTCTGCCGTCATCACCCGGCCGCCCCGCTCTGCCTGCTCCGCCATGGCCCCCCGCTCTGCCTGCTCCGCCATGGCCCCCCGCTCTGCCTGCTCCGCCATGGCCACCTGTTCTGCCTGCCCGTTACATTCATGTCTGATCAGGGCGATAACCACCGTAGACATTGAGGGTGGCTAGTCCCCCCAATAATTAGAAATCGCTAAACCCTTTTCTCAAATATTGCCAATTCAATAGAGAGAGAGAGAGACAGAGACAGACAGAGAGAGATGAAAGTTGCATGTATGTGCGTCTGTGCGTTTCTCTTTTTAGAGTGAGTTTACTTAAAAAAACAGCGATTTTATCCTCTCGTTGCTGGAAAATATAATGTAGCGATTCAGTATTTAAACTGTTATTAATAAAAGTCGTGGGGCAGCGTTGACAAGTTTCTTTTCTCATGGATGTGTGAGCTGCGCAATCTCCGATATATATGTGTGTATGTGTGTGTGTGTGTGTGTGTGTGTCAATAAGCAGCGCATTAATATAGAACAAGCAGCACATTAATATAGAACAGTAATTAAAGGCTCTAATGCACACCAGCACACCAGTATAGGTGTGTGTATTGTAGGAGCTAGACGACGTATGATCACGTGTGACGGCATAGTAGTGGTGTCCCAATTCTTAGGGGAATATTTTCACACTCTGTTTCAAGGGACAAGGGGAAGGGGTAAGGGAAGGGGTATAAAACAGAACTGGGATTGAGCCTAAGGCCTTCTCAAGCCGTACGGCTGACCCATCTAATCTGCGGCCTATTATGCATCAAAATAAGATTGCTGTAAAGACACAAAGGAATGCCATCACGTTAGCATTTTTAAACATTCGCTCACTAAAAAATAAATAATTTCTGATCAATGACTTAATAACCCCAAACAACCTGGATTTTATGTTTCTAAACGAAACATGGCTAAAAGACAGCTGCAGTGCAACAGTCCTCAATGAAACAGCCCCTCCTAACTTTACTTTCATGAGTGTCTGCAGGATTGTTAGGAGAGGTGGAGGTGTAGCTGCTCTATTTAAAGATGTCTATCAATGCAAGCAAGTGTCATTTGGTCAGTACTTGTCTTTTGAATATCTAGGGATTGTGTTGAAAGGTGCTCCACGCATTCTGTTTATCATTATTTACAGGCCTCCAAAATACTAATTGTCACCAGCAATGTGGCGGATTACATTTTACATTTCATTTGCTGTTAAAAATAAAAGACTTTTATTTTGAATTTCTGTCTGTTTCTCACGCAAAGCTATCGTATGGCTTCAGAACATAAGAGTACAAGCAGGGCCGGATTATGTCAGGGCAGACTAGCAGTGCCCTGGGCATGTATCAATTTAAAGGCCCCTCTCAATTGAAATTACATTCAAAATCAGGGGGAGCCTTATTTCTCTGGTCTAGTGCCCTTGGCACGTACCCAGTAGGCACGTGCATTAATCCGGCCCTGCTTACAAGTTGTATGGAGTAGTTGTATAGTGCTTTTGCATCTGTTTTTGAAACGCAAAAGAGAAAAGAGCAACCTGAAAAAATATCTTCTTTAAAGGGACATAACACACACAGCTTCTGCCAATCTCATGTTAATCTTGAGTAGTACTGCATCCTTCATATCTCCGAAGAGTCTTTAGTTTTATCAGATTTATTCTTTGGGAAGCAGATCAAGGTTATCTTTCCCTCGCATCCAAAAGCACACTTCTATAAATCACTCAATGGCCTAGGACCTAAATACATAGCAGATATGTTCACTGAATATAAACCTAACAGACCACTCAGATCATTAGGATCGAGTCAGTTAGAAATACCAAGAGTTCACACAAAACAAGGGGGGTCCGCTTTAGCTATTATGCCGCCCGCAGTTGGAATCAGCTTCCAGAAGAGATCAGATGTGCTAAAACATTAGTCACATTTAAATCTAGACTCAAAACTCATCTGTTTAGCTGTGCATTTATTGAATGAGCACTGTGCAATGTCCGAACTGAGTGCACTGTATTTTATGTATGTATAATCATTTTCTATTTTTAACTGTCTTAAATTCATTTTAAATCAATTTTTAAATCATTTTCAAAGTTTTTAAATTCCTTGTTTTATTGTTGTGATTATTTTTTTATGATTATTTTACTTCCTTTTATGTAAAGCACTTTGAATTACCATTGTGTACGAAAATGTGCTATATAAATAAACTTGCCTTGCCTTGCCTAGCATGCATATTACTAGCATATTGGCTGTTTATTAGTACCTCTGAGGTTATTCTTCAGAAGTTATTTATACTGCATGACCATATTTTAGATCCCTTAATCCTACCCCATACCTAAACTTAACAGCTACCTTACTAGCTATTAATAAGCAGCAAATTAGGAGTTTATTGAGGCAAAAGTCAGAGTTAATAGTCAATAGTGAGAACTGGCCCCCAAACTAAAGTGTGACTGTTATTCTTATGTTTTTGGGGGATCATATTTCTAACACGCACTCTGCTTTCCAGAATAAACCTGTAGGAATATGGCATTGCTCTTCTCAGTAATGTCGGGTTGTGGTGTGTTCATGAGGTCATGTGACTCTCACCCTCCACATACAGATGCACTTTGTGTCTGTCTTTGCCTTTGGAGTTGTCGGCCTCGCACTCGTACAAACCCTCGTCCTCGTACTGGATGTTGTAGAGATGGAGGAGACTTCCTGCCATACTGATGTTATGACGATGAACCGGCAGATCGCCATCCACCTTCCTCCATCGGATCTGAGGGATGGGGCTGAACACACACACACACACACACACACACACACACACACACACACACAC